ATATCTAAAGATATTTTTCAATGATTATTTGAAACAAAAATAGCACAAATACGGAACAACGTGAAATACAGTATATTTATCAACGCTTATTCTGCTGTTCTACTTGCTTTTGCTGCATCGACTTCTTCCTCGATGTTGTTGTGACCTAATAAATTAATTTAAAGATATTTAATTTTTTTTATGGCCTTGGCATAGCCAATTGACCAGACTGTTTTGTAATTTGTATTCACAGAACAACAATCAGAGTTCGAGTTAGTACTAAATGTAAGTTAAAAATAAATTAAATAGTTGACTTGTTTTGATTGTTCTTTTTTTGTTTGTTTGTGATTTTTTTTTTATTTTTTTTTTATTTGATTTTTTTATTTCCTTGTATTACTTTTTTGATATTGTATATAATATGTATATATATTTTTTATTTTGTTTTGGTCTTTTTTTATATTAATTTGGTTTTGCCTATTTTTTTTATTTATTTGTTATTTTTTGGGAGGCTTTTTTCCATTTTTTTTCATTTTTTCGTCTTAAAAGGTTTATTACATGATTAATATGTTCGCAAATTGCTTACAAATTTTATCTTAATTCTAGGGTTAGTACATTATATTGTTTAAAGTTTATATTTACAATTTCTTATTAACTAATAAATACAATTAAAGATTTCTAAGTTTCCAGAGAAAATTAATTCATTTATGTGAAATGGGAAACAGACATTTAGTTTTCGTAAGTTTTCATAAAAACATGTAATATTCCCTTGTTGGTTTACACATTGTAATAGGATATGTGTTAAATCTCAATATTTACCACAAGTACAGTTTGGAAAGCTAGTATTTAAATTATATTACTTATCTACGATTTTGTTTTCTATCTCTAGTTTGCTCCTTAGTCGTCCTTTTGATATTACTGGACTTTTTTTTTGTGGCGATATTTTTATTTTGAATTTCTTAACCTTTATGTTGAAATGATATAGCATTCTCTATAAAGTCAGCATTCTCCGCTGTCAGACTGCGTTATCTACATAACATATTACTTTTATTTCCTTATTTCCCATTTTATATTCCCTTTTTATTTATATGTTTATCACCTCATCCAATATTACGTGAAATATTATTAGACTTATCTTAGACTTATTAGACTTAGTCCAATATAAATAGAAATAAGTCAACGAATATAACCTTTCACTACAGCGTGCATTCAACGACTATGAAAAAGCTTTTGATAGTCTAGAGCAGTGGTTCTTAACCTTTTCAAAGCTGGGGAACACTTGACAAATTTTGAAAAAGTCGCGGAACACCATGGTGTTATTTTATAGGAAATACTGAATAAGGGGTACAAGGGGGGGCAAATGTAAATACAAATGTAAATAAAACACGTTCTTTAACTGCAAATACATGCAAAAATAAAATATAAGAATAAAAACATATTCTAAAAATAAAAATTAACAAAAAATATGTAGATTATACATTAACAAATTAGATGAATGGGCATAACTAACATAATAACATAAAAATTACACAAATTTAGTGCGACACTTGAGCCTGATGACTTTTGCAAATTTTAGCAATATTCGGTCTAATACGCGATAACGTCATTTCTTCATCAAAATTCCCAAGTCTTTCACGTTTCTTTGTTTTTATGTTTGTGAAGGTTGAACGTCTCAGAGCACGTATATCAAACGCCAGGAACGATAAAACTAAACCAAAAATAATCAAATATAATGTTGATAAATTAAAGTGTACTGAAGTCGTAAGAAACTTCCAAATATGCTTAGATCGACGAACTAACGAAAGAGAAGAACGACGCGCATATGAAAATGATCAACAGAAGGACTAGGAGCAATGTTGAAGAATATCGAGTAAAGAGACGAGAGGAAAAACAAAAACACAAACAGAAAAAGCGGCAACAAATCAATAAAGAGTTCGAAGAAATGGAAAACCTTAATAGAGAACACGAATACAGAAAATTTTACAAACAGGTTAACACAAAAAGAAAAGTTTTCAAACCACAAGCGAACCAAGTCAAGGCCCTTAACGGAATTCTTTTAAACGAGAGAGTGGAAGTACTAGAAAGATGGCAGGAACATTTTAGTAAGCTACTTAATGGAGAAAGTAGAGCTGAAGGTAGATATGATATAGAAATAGAACACGAGGATACTGAACTACCAACTTTGGAAGAAATAAACAAAGCAATTCAGTCTCTAGCCAGAAACAAGTCACCCGGAGCAGACAACCTACCAGCAGAAATATTTAAATGTGGCAGTCAAACATTTGTAACCCTCCTTCACAAACTACTAATACAGGTATGGCAAGAACGCGCGTTACCAGAAGATTGGAATACTGGAATTGTATGCCCCATACACAAAAAAGGAAACGTTATTGAATGCTCCAACTTTAGAGGGATTTCCTTTCTTAATACAGCATACAAAATTGTGTCCCTGATACTTAACGAACGACTGGCACGGTATACTGACAATATAATAGGATCCTATCAAAGAGGCTTCTTGAAAAACAAATCTACCATTGATCACATATCATCTATCAGACAAATATTAGAAAAAACGACGGAGTACGACATAGACTGCCATTACATCTTTGTAGACTTTAAGGCAGCGTACGATACTATTAACAGGTCCCAATTATATTCGGCGATGATCGAATTAGGAATACCAAAAGGTTTGGTAGAATTAATTAAAATGACAATGATGAAAGTCGAATGTAAAGTGCGCGTACAAGGGGATGTTTCCCAGGGAGATGCGCTATCGTGCACGCTGTTCAACCTAGCGTTAGAAAAAGTTATGAGAGATTCGGGAATAAACTTAAAAGGTACGATATATACCCGTAGTATACAAATAATGGCATACGCTGATGATATCGTCATAATTGGTAGAACCCAAAATGAAGTAGTGGAGGCTTTCACACGTATCAAAAATGCCGCAGAAAACATCGGACTTCTGATTAACATCCAGAAAACTAAATATATGCCGGCCATATCAATAATTCAACAAAATAACTTAGAGGTGCAACACGAAACGATAGAAATGGTAGAAGAATTCTGCTACTTAGGATCACTGGTAGACTACAAAAATAACACATCCAACGAGATAAAAAAAAAGAATATGCGTGGCTAACCGCTGTTATTTCGGCATGGGCCCTCAACTAAGAGCGAGAAGTATGTCAATAGCAACAAAGTGCAAACTTTATAAAACAATAATACGCCCAGTGCTCACATACGGATCGGAAACATGGACAATGACGACCCGAGATGAAGAGTTACTACTAGTCTTTGAAAGAAAAGTATTGAGGACCATATTTGGCGGAGTAAACGAACAGGGTCTGTGGAGAAGGCGATATAACTTTGAACTCTATAGACTTTTTGGTGATGCAGATATTGTGAAGACCATCAAGATAAACCGCCTAAGGTGGGTGGACCACGTTATGCGGATGGATGAGAGTGATCCCACTAAAATAACTATGCTAAATAGGCCGGTCGGAAGAAGAAGAGGGGGGCGACCTAAACTCAGATATCTGGACGATGTACAGGAAGATCTGAGGGAGATTGGAGTGAGGGGCTGGAGAAGACAGACACTCGATAGGGAAGGATGGAAGAACGTTTTGAAGCAGGCCAAGGCTCACGAAGGGCTGTAGCGCCAACTGATGATGATGAAGGTTGAAAAACCTAATTTTCACAAGTATGAAGTTCCAAACTGTAGTAATACATTTAATGCTTTTGAAGAAAGAAGTGGGTGTTCAGCTTGCACAGAAATCCAAAATTCTTCAAGTGACATTTCAGAAAACTTTAGTTTTAGAGTGCGATCCGTTGACAAGCCTACTAAGTCTTTCCAAAGAGATATTTTCTTTTGACACTCTGATAATTTGTCAGTACAAGAAAAATATTTTCAGCTTTTCCTTGGACACTCGTGTTAATATTATTGAGGTCTAAAAATGTCAGTCAAATATCCTAATTTGGCAAGCCAAATATTATTTTCTAAATATGTATATTGCAAATTTATCTGTTGCTGCACCTTCTCATTGAAAAAATGCTAACAATTCTCATTTAAGCTTTAAAACTCGATTCAAGACTTTTCCTTTGCTTAACCACCTAACTTCAGTATGCAAAAGCAAAACTTCGTGTTGTGCTTCCATTGCAGAACAAAGCTGTTTAAAAAGGCGTGTTTTTAATGGCCTTAATTTTATGTAATTGACCATTCCCACTACTTGATCTAACACAGGTTTTAAAGCATTTGGCAACGTTTTGTATACTAGTGATTCTCTGTGCAAGAAACAATGCGTAATTAATATGTTTTCGTTCCTCGTTTTCGCAAGTGTAGCAAATCCTTTAATAGAGCCTAACATTGATAGTGCCATATCTGTACAAATACCCACGGACATATTTCATGATATATTATTTTCTTTAAAATATGATGTAGTTCACTTAAAAATATTTTGACCCATTGTATGTTCAGTAAGTTCCTTACAACATAAAAACTGATTTACTATTTTGTTTTCAGAAATAAAACGAATAAATCCTATTAAGTAGGCTTTGCCACTAAAGCCAGTGGATTCGTCAACTTGCAATGTAAAATTTTCTCGTGTCATAATACCAAAAACAGTACTTTCAATATCGTCTGACATATTTTAAATTCTATTTCTTATTGTATCGTCGGAGTGGGGAATTATTATAATTTCTTTGTTTGCATCCTCACCAAACATAATTTTTACCATTTCTGCACATGCTCATGAAAACCAATCTTTTTCAGTTGTCTCATTGAGTTCATGTACCATCTTTTCTTTTTTATCGAAATCTTCAGGTTTAATGACTATATTATGCGCGAAACGTATGTTGTTTATATTCAGCTTTTATTTTAATTATCTTTATTTTCCAATCTTAATTCTTAAAACTATGTTCCAGGACTATAAAGTATAGGTGACATATATATGGTAAAGATGTGAATTTTTTTTTCGTAATATAGAAATTAATATCTACTATGTAATAATTCTTTTATGTTTCAGTTTGACAATTTTAAACTACCTGGTCTGCGATGAATCTATTAGAATAAACACCAGGAATTTTATGGGACAAACACCACTTTTTATAGCTGCAAAACATGGTTTCATTGAAGCTTGCCGTATTTTAGTGAAACATGGCGCCAATGTCAATCTTCCGGATAACGAGGATGTGACGCCATTACATCGAGCTGTAACGGCTCCAGAAGTGGCACATTTATTACTTAGTCATGGCGCAAATGTTAATGCCATTGGTAAGAAATATTTCTTTAAGTGCATGTTTTCTAACATTCAATCTGAAGAGTTTGAAGTCATCTAGCAAACTATTGTGGGAATAGCAAAAGTAATTTGTTTTTGGTACTATAGGGTCAATTAACATCGTAGGAAGATGCAAGATCCTGTTCTTATGCTAAAGTATGGTATATATGAGATAAAACCAAAATATTATAGAGAAGACATGCTAGGGTCGATTTATGATTAATTTTAATAAGAGAACGGAATATGTGCAAAATATATTTTTTGCACATCTAGCATATTTTGCATAAATTTCATATTTTGACAATATTTTCTGAATTTGTCAACCTTTTCTCGAAATTGTTTATTCAAATTCTCCGAGTAATAAAACCACGTGTTTCTTTGAATCATTTTGGGCGTACCTGTTATTGCAATAAAAGGTTTTAGGTAAACAATTAACAACCATAATATAGAAACAAAATGAAACTTACATTAACACTTTTAGTGGAACGGGTTTTTCCGAAATTCGAAAGAGGCGGAAGTGTCAGTGAAGCTTTTAGGAATAAAGAACTGGATGAATCTACAAACAGTGTAAACATGTGTGAGGAACATTTAAAAGTGCATTTATAATGTATTTTATTACGTAACTAGTAACTAACGTTAATTTGTTTATACAGGGTGTCCAGAAACTCTTCTGACAAACAAAGACAGGAGATTCCTCAGATAATTTTAAGACAATTTAACCGAATTCATCTAGTCCGAAAATGCTTCCTGCGGAAACTAGAGCTCTTTGAAGATGGCTCCTTGTAATTAGTTTTTTTAAATACCTTCAGAAAGCTTTGATTAAAAAAAAAAAAAGAAAACTGGTACGATTCTTTATCCTTTAGAGTTGAATTGATTTCATCCACTAAAATTTCTAGTATAACAATAAAATTTTTTGTTCATGAAAGTTAAATTAGTATTTTTTGCACTAGTTGGATTTGAACTGTCAACAGGAATATAACCTACGTTTTTTATTGCCAAATTTTTGTCAGTCGTGAAGTTTCTCTTTTAGTTTTTTACTTTGTGGCATTCAAATACAACAATTTCAATTCAACAAAAATGGTTAAAAATAGTGAGGAATGCAATGATATGTACTTAATTTATTGCGAAATGAGCTGTAACGCTCGAGTAGTAACGTGGATACGGTGAAAAATTTACCAATCGTGAGCATCCTATTCACTCGACATTTATAGCTCTTCATCAACGATTAAGAGAAACAGGTTCGGTGGCCCCCAAAAGTAATGAAACAAGGAAGTATAATGATGTAGCAGCAGCACATGAAGATGGTATTTTAATGGAAGTTGAGGAAAATTCAGAAATTAGCGTTCGAAAAATATCTGCCATTTATTCCACAATTTCAAAATCTTTCGTAGGAAATATTTTACACGACGAAAATTGATATCCTTTTTATTTCACAAAGATACAAACACTGCTACAAGGAGATTTTTCTGCTCGTGAAGAAGTCACTAGATGGTTACAAAATCAGAACAATCAAAATAAAGATTTTTTCAGATACATTTTGTTTTGCGACGAAGCTACATTCACAAAAATGGAATTTTGAATATACATAATGCACATTATTATTCGTACGTTGGTGGCAGACCCACGTTATTCAAGAATTTAAACACCAGCATAAGTTTAGCATAAACTTCTGGATAGGAGTAGTTGACGATTATCTACTTGGACCCGTGGAATTGTCTGCCTGTTAAAATGGTGCTGATTAATTGTATTTCCTGCAAAATGTTTTACCTGATTTGTTAAATGACGCGCCTTTAAATATTCGGCAAAAATTATGGTTTCTACATGACGGCTGTCCGGCCAACTTTAGCAGGAATGTTCTAAACTTTCTTGATAATAACTACGAAGACCACTAGATTGGAAGAGGCGGTTTAGTTTCTTGACCTACAAGGTTGACGGATTTGAACTCTTGCGATTATTGTGTTTCAGGACATATAAAAGCATTTCTTTATTCCGTTCCGATACAAAATCGTGCACAACTCTGACTAAGAATACTTTGCAACGAATTTAGAAATAACTTTGTAATTTTTGCAAGAATTTAGCGTTCTCTAAGAAAAATGAAAAAATTATGCATAGAGACCAATGGTCATCACATCGAGCATCTGTTGTAACTATCTACCTTTAATACTTGTTCTTTTGCCTTAATTTGGTTTCATCGTAGTAAATACTTTGTTTTTATAAACCTTTAAATTTTTGTTTCAAATTGATTTTTTGCTTCTTTTCCCAAACTTTTTTTACGAATTGTATGCTGCATTTATTTAAACAAAAGATAATTTATAAAATTAATTAAGGTATTAAGGTAAAAATTTTCAAATTGATTTTTCTAGAAAACTGTACATCCTACAACCTTAAAGTAAGAATACCTTTTAGTACTAGACTATGTGAAAATTTAATAATCTAGTATGACGAATGCTTAAAAGTTAAAGACAAAAAAGTTCGACGTTAAAATAACCGTTGATCTGCCCAAAACGGACGGCTATGAATGGTACTAGAAATTTGCAATTAATGTAGAAGTCAACTCTGGAGGATAAATAATCGTACCAGGTTTCGCTTTTCTAAATATAAGTGTTTTGAAGGTATTAAAAAAAACCGCAGAGTTTCTAGACACCCTGTATATCCAAACTAAGTGCTTGAATTCCGCCATATCCTGAATTAAAGCTGGATAGAGGAAAAGTATTTTGTCAAGCTTGCTCTAAAATTATAAGTAATTATTTTCATTTTTAAGACAAGTGCAAGCTATTGTCAACGCATGTTTCGGTAAAAAAGTGTGAATAAGCTTTGCCATTTTCTTTCAAATTTCTTCTGATGAAAAATTTTTAATCGATCAGCATGCAAAGATAACTCACCTTAAAAAGTGTAAAAAAACTCTTAAAGGGCCCAGTTCAAGAGGGTAATTGACAAAGGCGCAAAGGAACTCAAAAAACCGAGCACCAACTTTTTGACCATGATCATTGCGATGCCTTGTTATCTTCGGAAATTGCAATTTCAAAAGTGAACAATGTTACTTTTACCATTTTTGCAGAAATATTGTAAATTTAATATTACCGATGAAAGTATCTTAAGAAGAAAAATATATCCAGATTTGATACGATGAGACCATAAAAAAATTCGAAAAAATGTTGCCAATAACTCGATTTATTTTATACTCAATGAAAGTATTGATTTACATGGCCGCTATGTGACGCATTTAATGATAGGGGTTTTACACGAGGATCTAAAAAAAATGTTATCTTAGTTTTCTTCTTAGAGTGTCTTCATAATGGCTATTTTTATTTTAAAATAAACAAATCAATCGATCTGCGTTGATACCAATCACGTAGATTCTTTAACCATGAGTTCTGCCTTTGGCCAACAGACCTTCCTTGAATCTTTCCCTGCATTACGAGTCTCAAAATGTCATATTTTGGTCCCCTCATCACGTGTCCTAGGTATTCCAGTTTTCTGGTTAGTATAGTGGTGATTAGTTCTGTTTCTTTACCAACCCTCTCCAGTACTTCTTTATTTGTAATTCTAAAATTTTGTAATCTTATTGCGTTAAAGCAATTGGAGAAATCCAACAATTTGACGTTACACGTTTTGTTCAAGATGAGTTGTCCCATTTTTTTTTTCTACCGGAAATTATACCATGCGATAAAGTTTTATTATTGTTAAGCAACAACGCAAACTAAATGGTAAAAACTAAAAGGCAGCACAGAACTTAACATGTCTAGCTTAGGGGCTTAACCTGGTCGCGGAAGAAATAAAACAGAAACAGGAAGACATTTTCCACATGATTTGATAATTAATGTCAAAAACGTTTTTATAAAATAGCCATTACGAGTTAAATTTTACAAAGAATGAAATATCGTCTGGGTGCTATACACCCTTTACCTGTTATTATGAGATGGGGCACTTGGTTACAAGCAGCATTTTTTATGCGGGGTATTTTCAAGGAATAAAAAGTTTTATTAGAGAACTTACAGATTCCACTGCAGCAGCTCTGAAGGAATGTAAATGCCTTGTTCAATTACCTAATTTACCTCAGAGTCTAGCATAAATAAGCTTAAATCATAAATTTCTTGTTGAGGATATAAAAAATTTGAAAAAGAAAATTTGTCTCTTTAAAAATCAGTCCATGTAATTAATCATGTTAAGGAATCTTTTGAGTTCAGAGTCTAAGAGTCCAGATTAGAATATATGGGAGAGGAATACAGTATGGAGAGACAAACAAATAGTATAGTATAGTAATACTACTTACAACGAGGTACGTAATGCGTTAAGTAAAATGAAAAACGGGCGATCTCCAGGACCTGGCAATATAGCTGTAGAGTTACTTAAAGCAGGAGGTCCACTCCTAATAGAACGAATAACTTTTCTAATGAATCAATGCTACCAATAAATTAAAGTACCATCTGAATGGAAAACCGCCCACCAAGTGTCCATCTTAAAAAAGGTTAATCGAAAAGATCCTAGCTGCTACAGAGGATTAAGTGTCCTACCTACTTTCGGGAGATTGTTTGGAAAGATAATAAATGGAAAAATACAAGATCATGTAGGACATCTAATTAGCGAAGACCAAAGTGGATTTACGCCTGGTATATCTTGCACGGATAACTTTTTATACTCCAACAATTAATGGAAAAAAGAATAGCGGTTGATACCAAAGTACATCTAGCCTTCATCGACCTAGAAAAGGCGTATGATACAGTTCCAAGACTTAAATTGTGGCAAGCTTTACAAAACCTCGGCATTAGTCAATACCTTTTAGGAATAATCACAGAAGTATACAGGGATAACACTACTTACCTAAAAATCGGAATAGGCTATCAGAGCCAATAAAATTAACCAAAGGACTAAGACGAGGATGCAGTATGTCACCCTTACTGTGTAATTTATATATTGAGGCAGCCCTCCAAAATTGGAAAAACCACTGCCAGGCAATGGGAATCCCCATAGGAAATGACGTACTGTTCCCCCTGAA